CAACTGCCCAGCGTGCTGCTTGTGAAGCCTTGGGTGGGGCATGCATTCTGAAAACCGTGGCCTCAGAGGTTTTCTCCAGTGGATCCCCTCTCCCCTTTGCCTCTCCACATCTGCCCCTGTCCCTTGTCCTTCTCTGGCTGTGTGCCGCTCGAGGCGGTGGTGGTTAGCTGGTGTTGAGTTGGCCCTGTCTCATGGCAAACCCACACACAATGGGACAAAATGCTTGCCCACTCCTGCACCGTCCCTGTGACTGGTTGCAGGTCGGACTGTTGTAATCCATAGGGTTTTCATTGGCTGATACTTGGGAGTTGGTCACCAGGCCTCTCTTACTAGTCTGCCTTCATGTGGAAGCCTCCACTGAGAGATGGCAGCTGCATATGGGGTACACTGGCTGGCAGTCAAGCCTGGGTCTGTGCCTGGAAGGCAAGAATTCTACCACTGAACCATCCCTGCCCTTCCATTGGTGGTTAGTGCCAGACAGAGTCCTGCAGTACTGTCCTCAGCACACTCAGTTACTCTATGGTGAGGTTAAATGCTGTGTTGCCACATGAAGTCGTGACTGGGTGGGACATTTATGTGTGTATAGACATGTCCATATTATGATAGAAATAAGGTCAGAGCAACCATTTATCCCCCAAACAAGTACTGTTGGGGACTGAGCGCCCTTGGTGGATCATTTTCTTTACTTCTAGAGCCATAGTGTCTGGCAGCCATCACCAAGAGCCCCCATCATGTGGATCAGGTGGGGGTAGTGTTTGTAGATTTACCCCCGATGCCATCTGCCTGTGAGGCTATAGGAACCCCTAGCAATTGATGTCCAGCAGGTGCTGGAGCTGTCGAGGTGGGTGTCTGTGTGCTCACACATGTACACAGCTTTGTGTAGAGGGCACAGAGCTGCCCTGGTTGACCTGGTGGCTGAGGTGTGTCTGGTTAGTTCTCTGAGATACCAACTGCAATCCTCAACCCAGCAAAGTGCCAGCACTGGTTGCTGGTTCCCAGTGGGGCACTGGTGAGGGAGGGCAAGGCTGTTATTTATGAACAGAGACAGCAAGCAGAGAATTGGGGACAGTAGCTAGCACTCAGGTGTGTAGGAAGTTGCTAGTCAGTTCATGCGCTGGCGGTTTTGGCCAGCTTTTGTTGTTTCCTTTCCATTTCTGCCCTCCACTCAGGCTAAATCTTGGCCCCCCTACCCAATTTGCCATCATCCTGTTCATCCCATAGAGTGAACCCATCCCCATTTCTTCTCCTATTATCTTTCCAAAGAAAACATTCCTTATCCTTGAGCCCTTCCTGCCATTCATTCACGCTTTGGGTCTAGCCCCTTAGGGCTCTCTCTTTCCCAAGTCAGTGTGGTCATGGGCCCACGCAGGCCCAGAAACCCCCTGCTCCTTTGGGAAGAATTCCTGTGGACAGAACTGCAGTTTGTGACTTACTATCATTCAGGGCTATTAATGCTTTTGAAAAGACTTATGTAAATTATTAAAGTGATTTGAAATCGTTGTATCAGCCATCAGGTTTAAGTAATGAGATCTTAAAGGAACTTTGGTAAGAGTCCACCTAGAATAATATTTGGCAAACTTTTTCAGTAAAGGATGAGATAAAAATATTTCAGGCTTTGGCCTCTATTGCATCTACTGGATTCTGCTGTTGTATCATAAACATGGTTTTGTTCTAATAAAACTTTATTTACAAAAACAGGTGGTAGAAACAAACAGCAACATGTGGTGGGCTGTGATTTGTTGACCTCTGGCCTAAAATCATAGCCTTTATTTTTGTTTGCCTTATGTAAGTCGTTTTTTTTTTTTTTTTTTTTTGTTGTTAAGAGTTTAAAAGCCAGAGAAACTTGAATACTGTAAATGAATTTAATCATCTTCATTTTGGTTTAGTATAATTGTGGGCTTAATGATAATTTAGGAGCCCTGGTGGTGTAGTGCTGAAGGCATTTGGTAACCAGAAGGCTGGCAGTTCAAACCCACCAGCCACTCCTCGGAAGGAAGGTTGGGCAAACTACTTCCATAGTGACACTGTCTCAGAAACCAAGGAGGGGTCACTGTGAGTCAGATATGACTCGACAGCAGTGAGTTTGGTTGTTTGTTTTTTTAAAAAATGATAATTTGGCAATATAGTTTTCTAAACCCTTGTTGAGAAGAATAGAAACCAGAGGCTTTCATGGGATGACTTGGGTTGACCATAGCTTATCACCATCCAAAAAGTAGGAGAGGCTGACACCTAGAGCTGTACAGCAGCCACAAGGAATGGCCATAGTCAGAAGGTCACACCACCACACTGGACATTATTTTATCAGGCCAGGCACTTCTCTAATAAATGTGGAGGGAGAAAGGCTACAAAGCTATAGGAAATGGTCTTTCTAGAACATCATGTTATGCTGAGTTGGGGATCACTGTAATTCATTTCCAGGAAGTTGAAGCTTAAAACAGTCAAAGAAGGATCCTAAAATATCAGACTACAGTCTTGTTTTCCTTTTGTCTGTCCTTACAGGAAATAAAGAAGGAAATGAAGAAAGACCCTCTCGCCAGCAAAGCTCCAGAGAAGCCCATGCACGAAGTATCCAGTGGCAACTCCTTGCTGTCTTCGGAAACGATTTTAAGAACCAACAAGAGAGGTATGGAAAAGGAGAATGAGCCCCATCCCTGCACACAAACAAAGACTGGAAACTTCCAGGTGAACTGTGTCGAGTTTTATATTGCTAAAAAAAGTTGGAGTTTGCCCTTTTGTTTCTTTTGGTAAAGATTTTGGACACACAGATGCACGCACACACACACACACAAATGGCAAGAAATGATACAGTAACTATAATAAGGGGAACAAATAAAACTACTTTGACAATGGGAAAGTGGACTAAATTTGTAAATGGCTTTTTTAGGGCTTTAGCTTTTGCTTTCACACGTATATTTTTATGGATGAACGTGTGATTACAGAACACTCTGGTACAGGCTTGAGCTGCGTGGATTGGACCATATTCTTTTTCAATCTAAGCCCAGCTTTGGCGGACAGGGCCTTTTCTCTCTAACCTCTGGCTTCCCTAACATAGACCCTGTTGTCTTGGTTTATGCAAAGATCCAGTTAATACAGCCATCTAACCTGCAGACCTCTAACAATCATGTTTTCCCTTTTTCTGAGACCTTGAGGCAAATTGTAAGCCTGCTGGAATTTTGTTTTCTCCCTGTCCTCCTTCCTTTGTGATCACTGTCATCTAAAACGCTGTGTGAGAGAAAATAAGATGGCAGAGACGACTTGACTCCATTTTATGCTGTGGTCCTGCCAGGGCTGGGTTTCTCTCAGTTCTTCTGAGCCCTCCCTCGGCTCAGCAGGTCCACTCGGAGCATGCCCACAGTAGGCTAACACACAGCTGCAGGCTTTTCACAGGCTTCTGACTTCTTTAAAGAGAAATTGAGCTGGGCAAAAGCAGGAGCAGGAAACCTATTAGCAAAGGGTTGCATTAAAATGAAAAAAAAGAAAGCCTGCTTCCATAACCATGGGCAAGTACAGTTCATCTTTCATCAAATTTAGACAGCAGAAGAATTTGTCCACTAAACTGTCCATTGATCATAGTGCCCGAGACATGAGCGTTGTGTCTCTCTTCCTTCCTGTCCCCCCCCCCCCGCACCCCACCCCTCCAGCTGGCCTCGTTTACATTTCCTTTTTTGAATTATTCAGATGAAATATTGGCTGGAGGCCCACGTGTGTTAGCAGCTATAGGATTTTCTTCCTTTTTAAATCCTAGCCTACCAGTGCAGGGGATTTCCCATTTTAAGACTTAAGTGTACTTTGCTGCAAAACCACAGTGTTCCAGAAAAAGGGGCCTCCTATATCCTTGCAAGTAAGCTCCAAACTCCTGAGGCCTGCCCTCCTTGGATTAGAGATAGAGCTCTTTGCATCTTTCTGGGGTTTCCAAACCTCCCTCCTGAGCCCTCCTGTCCCACCTGCCATTGCCTGGGTTGGTGGGCCAGGAGTCGCCACGTGCTGACCAGGGACAAGGTCTCTGCAGCCAGCCCTGTGTTTGTAAAGTAGATAGAAGAATTAAGGTAATAAAATAATCTAGTGAGATAAGGAACTAATTAAGGCAAGGAATTAAAGTAATTATCTAGATGAGTCAAGTAAAATTACCTGAGAACTTTAAATAAAGGAAGGAATAGAACTTTTCTTATAATTGTCTCTTTGCAGCCAAAAAATCTGGCCTTTGAATCCCCCTGCAGAATTTTCCATTAACAAAAAAATGGAACTAAAAGGAGTGGCATGCTGACTTACACTCATTTTTTAAGCCTGCAGCCTGATTATGACCACCCTTTTAGGTAGTTTATATAACGAAGACACCAGTGGCTGCGAGTCTTTAGCCCATGGGGACATTCTGTAAATATGAAATGCACAACAGACCATCTTCATTCTGTCCCAGGCTTTATGCTCACCTCCTGGGTCACCTGGACCAAACGTAAATTTCCAGTTGAAGTGCAGCATTGTGTACAAGGAGCAGAGCTGGCTGCCTTTGGCCCTCCCCCACCAGTCAAGACTAACAGTCTCCCACTGCTCCTTATGATAAACAGCAGGGAGATTGAGTGGCCTTGTCCGGCCAAATAAATAGGTCATTGTGCTGAGCTCAAAAGTGACATCTTTTTTCCCCCCACCCAAAATCAGTGGGGGAAAATATATCTGTCTATCTATCTATCTCAAAGATGACATGACAATTTACCTGGGCCTTATCATTTGAGAAAGTCTTAGAACTGGTTTAATAAAGAAAGATGAAGCATATTTCTTTTAGGAATCTGAAATGGAACCACTTCTCCAATGTGAGAAAGATTGTGCCTAAAGGATTTGACTGCTAACCAGAAGGCTGGCGGTTCAAACCCACCAGCCACTCCTTGGAAGGCAGGTCAGGCAATCTACTTCCGTAGTGATACCGCCTTGGAAACCCCAGGAGGGGTCGCTGTGAGTCGGATCCGATTTCACAGCAGCCTTTTTTTTGTGTGTGTGTCTGTGTGTGAGTGTGTGTGTGTAAGAGGTGGTTTTTGCATTGGGAACCTGCTTCAGTTTGTGGGAGCAGTGAAGGGGTTGTAGGCCTTCACAGTGTTGATGAGTTCACCCTCCCAAGCACCTGCATAAGGTCAGGAGATAACGTGGGCTTTGAAGGAAGCTATTCATAGCCTTGAGAAAAGGCCAGGGCAGTGGAAAGATTCGTTTGGGGACCTATTGGTTTCAGTTTGCAACTTTAACCTTTGAAAATTTCGGCAGAGGTAATTTAGGGAGGTACTGGAATGACTCCTTGGGCTTTTCATTTGAGAAGGAGATGAAACTGAAATTGAGAGGGCAAACCAGTCTCCCCAGCTTGGCCGACATCAGGTACACATTCTGGCTATTAGAACCTTGGGGGCAATTGGGCCTGCTCCCACCCTTGGCCATTTCTTTGGTCTTTACCTGAGTCATAGTGAAGGAGCTTTCTATTTAAAATGAGCCTTTCTCCAGGAATAAGAAGTCATTTTCCAATTAAATTTTCAGCATGGATGTTGTATATCCTAGAGTTATTCCAGATTCCAGTACATTGACAAGTCCCAGCCAGGTCTAAAACCTTTTCCTGAAGCCACGTGTCATTCTCTCTTCCAGACAGAAGAGAGTTGTATGTTCTCTTCTGAGAGCGATCTATTCTTTTGTTTCCTATGCTGGTAAACCCATGGAAGAGAGTCAGGGGCCCTCCTAAATTGGAACACTGACATGTAGAAATTTTTTTTTTAAAAATGCAAGTTTGAACAGTGAATAGCAACTGCCCTAAAAATGTTCTTGAAAATGAGCAAGGAGGATTTTATTCATGTGAGTGTGGACCCTCCTCTGCTTTAATTAAAACGACAAATTATTTGGTTTCATCCTAGAGGGGTTTCCCGACTAACTGTAATTGATACCCTGCAGGCCTGTTGGGGACCAGGTTTGATTGCAGGGCTCCATTTCCAGTTTTTGCATCATTAGCAGACCACGTGGGGAAGGTGCATCTCTGCCTGTCCCTGAACCTCTCCTGCCACCTGTAATTCGGACACTGTTCCTTCCTCGCTTTTGGGTGGATACCAATGAACATTCAATAGCATGTGTTCATTGCAAGCCTGCTATGGGCCTGGCCCTGCACTCGGTGCTGAGGTAGACATCGAGACAAGTAAAACACCAGCCAGCCTTGCCCACAAGCAGTCCCAGTCTGTTGTGCCACTTGGGAAATATCGAGAAAGTACTGCAGATGATATCCTTTTTATGGCCAGGTCGGGGTATGTCACTTAATTACTTCTGTCATTCTGAATGTGAAGCCACGCTGCGAGTTTCTGGTTGGCTTTATATGTCCTTGTTTCTATTTCCAGTTTATCATGAATTTAGTGTTTGGTAAGTCTCTATTGTATTTTGCACATTTATTATTCTTTGCTATTATTGTTATGCTCTCCTGATGTAAAATGTGTTTATAATCATCTTTTTAAGTCGCTCTGCTACTTTGGCATCTGCCTTCCAAAAGATAAACTGCTTTTACCATCTTTATTTAAGGTTTGTTATGCATTTGCATTGACTGCTCCTTCCAGAGATTAATGCACAGAGATCTAATGGTATAAGAGATCTTATTTGTAACAGGTCTGGCGCTGATGCTGTGAGGTGAGATCCGCTTTCTCAAGTGCAGTTGGAGTTCAGATGCGGGTGGGTTTCTCTCTGAGTCACGGTGTGGATAGTACTTGATTGCAGAACATGGCTCTGTGAGTTTGGTTCTGGTGTTTTCAGTCCTTCGGTCCAAAGTTTTCCTTAACAGAGGGGTCAACAGCTGCTCTGCCTCTGGTGACACACTGTTGCTTTAAAACCTAGCGCAGAAGTACTTAAGAATTTATTTTGCGTGTGGATGGGGGATACATACGCGCCCCTCCACATTAAGATGGGCCTAGCGTTTGCATCACAGAAAGGCTCTCCATCCTGGTCTGCTGCCTGTAACCGTCTGAAGAATTTTACCTAATGTTTATCTTTCTTTTCTTCATGGTTTCAGCACTAGCCATTCCAATCCCTAAACAGATCTGCCCACAGTGACCCATTGTCTCTCCTGAAAGTGAAAAGTTTTTTCCCTGAGGTTTTACTTCTTTAGCATTTACTTGGCTGCCTGGGGACACTTTCCAGGGGGTTGCTGGTTGGTTAGAATATGGCTGAGGGTGTGAGTGTTTGCATGTGTGCAGGAACAGCACACATGCTGGAGTGAAAAATCTCACATTTGTGTGAAGGCTGTGGGCTCTTTGTTTGAAGTTGTAAACAAAGGATGGAAAAACAAACAGTTTCAACAGCTTTGTTTTTCTAGCAGTTTATAGGACCTGGGGATTTGTTTGTAGAAACAAGACTTTTTTCCTTTCAAATTTCCTTCTGAAGAAACAAATGTGAATTATCAGAATTAACTAGGAATGTGAAAAAGTGAGATTTTGGTCAAACTCTCCTCCAAGTTTGCAAATCATCTGTTGATGTGACTTCATGAGATAGCTTTTGTGGCAGGATGGAAGAGTAGGAATTGCTAAGAGAAGGCATGACTTCTGTGCAAAAGTTTTTGGCTGTCCCCTGAGCTGGTCTTTCCAATGGGCGAATAAAAAAAAGTTGGCAACTCGGCAGTGAACA